CTGACTGAGAAATCCGAAAGAAATCAGAGTACGAATTTATATGCACTAAGAAATCTGATTACTGAGCTAAAATCCAGCCTCTTTATCAGATTTCTTAATTGGATTTCTAGACCGTAATCCGATCTAAGAAATCAGAGTGAGCTGATTACATGACCATTCAAATAATCAGATAGCTGCAGAGATTATTGAGTGCATGTAAACACACTCAGTGTCTCAGACTGTGTGGAGGTGTTCAGGCTCTGTAATAGACCTGTTTATGTGGATTCTGACTCTGTATGACTCACTGTCATCTATAAGCATGGACTGAAGTGTGGGTCAAACACATAGCAGCCATAGTAAAGCCTGAATTTTGCCTGTGCAAAAGGGAAACTGAGTAAATTGGACTTTTGAACTATCACTTTAATGACTGGGCAGGAGTAGATGATTCCAAGCATGTGTGTTTGCTCTCTACAGCTGTAAGTGGAAGGTTTATTATGATATGAAGCAGCTGCAGTGAATCTTTAGATACAAGTACGTCTTCAGAACCTTCAGTTAGGGAGCAGAATTACACCATTTTCATATGCAACTATATTTTTCAACAGGTATTGACTCTGTTTCTCACCCTGTCTGGATTTCAGGCCTTTTATTTTATTGATCTGTTGAAAAATATTAGGATATGAAAAGATTTTTTTTTCCCTTAGAAAAACATATTTAAGGTCAATAATTGGACCTTAAAGCCAATGTTGTGCCTTTGAGGGTACATTTACATTTTTTGTAATAGAAATGCATCAAAACCATTTTTCAGACTGAGTATGTTTCTAGTACTCAGCAGTACCGACTCTGACGCCATACTGAGTCCCTACTTAGAATGAAGTAGTTGTTAGTTTAAATGGGTGCAAACAGTTAAATCATTAAAATTCAGCTGATTTTAAAGGAAGTAGTTTAGCCAGCTGTGCTACATTAGTTCTCCTGGGTCGAGTAGCGCTGCAGTGGAGAAGAGCGGGTTTAGCTTAGCTTAGCTAATGAGATCCAAACAGCCCAGTATGGGTTCAATTCAACTAACTGGTGCTTCGCCATCACAAATATTGACATAAAACTTATCACAGTGAGAGCAAAGAGGACTGATTGGTGTTGGAGCTACAGAAACAGAACCTGTCCTGTACTCACCAGTGTTGAACGACACAGCACGGCCCTGAGAACCATGTGGCTCCACGGTGGAAAAGAGGCCTCTGTTCTATCACATAATTAGCTACCAGTCATTACAAAATCCAGGACCAGAAATTGGATTCAGGATCCAGAGCTGAAGACCTCTCCTCCGTATGTTCTCCTACAAGGCAAATGTCTGTGAGAAATCTCAAAACGACACATTCCAGAAAGCTGTTGGAGGTAAAAACGATATGAACACATGGAGACGGTTGATTTTAAACTTTTGGATTGAGAACAAACCAATTTCTTTGTGAAAGTCTGGCTCTGGCAGGCGCTCTGTGTTATGAGAAGCTCTCGCCCCCAGACGCCAGCAGCCCATTAGAAATGCAGGGCTGCGTTTAGGTGGTGCTGAACGGATGCTGGAAGATAGTGATTTATAATAAGGTTGTGTTTAAAAAGCAGTGGGTTTGGATTTATTAGACAGAAAGAGAATTTCCTCAAAACGCTGCCAGATTCTCAATTTACCCCTTTATACAGCTCATATCTGGAAGGTCCACAAACATCACTCAGTTTCATTTGCTGTTCAGTTTTATTTTTATAGTGTTTTCTACAGCTGACATTCTCCCACAGCAGTGATCAGGAACGCAGGGGCAGCCCCTTAATGAGCATCACGAGGGGGGCTACATTAAAATATGCTCCCTAAGGCAGGGGTGTGGCTGCAGGTGTGTACAACTGACTCCAGCTGTTTAATCAGTTGGTCTTTATTCATCAGGTGACCTCCTGCTTTGTTGGAGTAACAACCTGCAGCCAAACCAGCCCTTTGTGGGTAAGATTGGACACCCCTGCCCTAACACCATGAGGAAGAACCACGGAGAGGAACCAAGACTCAAAAGAAGAAACTCTTCAAGAGTATGAAGACAAAAAAACACTGAGAGGAACCAAGACTCAAAGGAACTCCCTAAGATTATTTGGAGGAACCACTGAGAGGAACCAAGACTCAAAAGAACTCCCTAAGATTATTTGGAGGAACCACTGAGAGGAACCAAGACTCAAAAGAACTCCCTAAGATTATTTGGAGGAACCACTGAGAGGAACCAAGACTCAAAAGAACTCCCTAAGATTATTTGGAGGAACCACTGAGAGGAACCAAGACTCAAAAGAACTCCCTAAGATTATTTGGAGGAACCACTGAGAGGAACCAAGACTCAAAGGAACTCCCTAAGATTATTTGGAGGAACCACTGAGAGGAACCAAGACTCAAAAGAACTCCCTAAGATTATTTGGAGGAACCACTGAGAGGAACCAAGACTCAAAAGAACTCCCTAAGATTATTTGGAGGAACCACTGAGAGGAACCAAGACTCAAAAGGAGAAACTTTTCAAGAGCATGAGGAAGAACCTCTGAAACAAAGACTCAAAAGAAGAACCCCCTAAGTGTATGAGGAAGAACCACAGGGAGGAACCGAGACTGAAAAGGAGAACCTCCTTAAGAGCGCACTGTTAAGTAAAAATGGATAAAACTATTTTGTACATAACTGATAAATCCTTGAAATCTTTTGCTCATAAATTATACGGTTCAGACTGAATTCAGACCAGAAATGACTGAAAAACTCCACACGGTCAGAGGTGAGTGTGTAATGATGTAGTCATGCGGTTAGCATCATGCTAATTGGTGGGTATAATCTTCCATTACTTGTTAGCTACATTAGCCTCGTAGCTCCAAAGCTATAACTAAAGAAGCGAAATTCGGACATAAAGCCTGTTTTGGCTGTGCAGCTCCGTTTAAGGTGAGAGGAGGGAAATGGGGGGATTTGATTTTCCACATTTATGTCTCCTGTTTTTCTAAAAGGGTCTGCAGCTCCAGTAATTTCCACAGAAACTCTTTCTTCTGGGTTATTTTGAATATTAATCTCAGAAAATCAGAACCTCATTTAAAAACCCTTTTCTGGTGGAATTGGCAGAGTCTGTTCAAAGCTACAATAACAGCAGCTCTATTCTTCTACAGATGAACAGATTTAGTTGATTCAACTTGTAGCTCAAAACTTCATATTCAAGCCGGAGTGTAAAGACAGAGAGAGGAGTCATCAGTGGAAACAGAGTCTGTAAAGGCCTTAATCAGTATTGGTTTTATATCAGATCGGAGTGAAGAGTGACGAGCAGCGCTGAGGAATTCGTCCCCTCAGAACATGGAAATTTAAACTACGCCAAAATCGCAATTTAAATGATAAAGAAACGCTATGATGAATAATAAATTGTTCAGTGTTTCTGTGTTTTATTATTATTTCCAGGAAACTACAGGACTTTTTACAGCCTTTTAAGATTTCAAAACAGAGGGCAAAATGAAGGCCCAGCACACACACTGCAAAAAATCATATTTTCTTAAGTAAAAAGATCTTAAATCTAGTCAATAAATTTAATATTTCTCCTGTTGAGATTGTTGTAAGCTTATTTTAAGACTATTTAACTCATTTCTAAACTTCTATTACTAAAATTTCTATTCTAAAATTTCTATTACTTGTTTTAAGTGACTTTATTACCAACAAAATTATAGTTTCTCATTAGGCTGAATGAATAACTGACTCTAAATGTAGGTATTGTGATATAAACCGAGTCTGTTCTACAGTTTCTCATTAGGTTGAATATGATTTTACTAGCGTACAGCTTGTCCAACCTCACAATTGATTGTGGGCGGAGCCAGGAGATGCCTAAAGATGAAACTATCTACAGTAGACACACACATATCTCTTGAATGTTCCCTGGCCTCCTGTTGTGTGTGGTGGTTGTTTTGATGTGAAAGAGCACAGTGTTTGAGAGTATTCAGTGAGTATTCAGATGAGGAAAGTGCTCTGTAGAAGTGGGAGGATTTAAAGCAGGTCATTAAACTCGAGCATAAAATCTCTCTCTTTATTGTGGGGTAAGCTCTCTTTACAGCGCTGCATATTTACTGCTGGAGAAAAGGCTTTGTGAGGAATCGAGAGAATAAATTGGTTTCTGTCATGGTAGCTGAGGAGTAAAGTTTAAGGAACTTCTGTGGCTTTGAATAATATGAAGGCTGTTGGCGTAGATCAAAAAGACCGTGGTAATGACTCTCTCTCTGAATCCCCCCACAAAAATACACTAAAATTTGATCTGCATTTCCATCCTGGTGTCTCACCCACACAGTCATTTCACACAGCAGCTCAGAAAGCCTTTGAGTCCAATTTACACAGCTGTGTTATCTGAGGGGCCCAAAGCTCAGTGTTTAAGGTTGGCTTTTTAATATTAGACCATATTGTGTTACTCTTATTGTACATGCTGTTGTACATATGTGAATGAGCTCTGTTCTTATTGGGTGATCTGTATTGTGCATCATTCAAAAAGCAGTCAGGCCTGAAACACTCCTTATAACTTCAATGTACATGGGCGGGGCTAAACTGCTGTAGGCTGAATGGGTGGGGCTAAACTGCTGTAGCTGAATGGTGGGGCTAAACTGCTGTAGCTGAATGGGTGGGGCTAAACTGCTGTAGGCTGGATGGGTGGGGCTAAACTGCTGTAGCTGAATGGTGGGGCTAAACTGCTGTAGGCTGAATGGGTGGAGCTAAACTGCTGTAGGCTGAATAGATGGGGCCTAAGTATGATAGGCTGAATGGGATGTGTGTGTGTGTGTGTGTGTGTGTGTGTGTGTGTGTGTGTGTGTGTGTGTGTGTGTGTAAATCCCCTTTTTGTGATGTCACTCATCAGCTTTGGGCCAAAAGACCTTCTTCACAGCAAGAAGATCCTCTGATGAACATGAAACTGAGAAGATAAACACAGAAAACATCAGCTCAGAGCTGCTTTCTGATAAACTAAGCCTGCACAGGTGTTTTTCTGACCTGAATGTTCTGTGTGTTTGTGTAGAGCATCTGGCTGAAGGAGGGCTGGCAGGTGTACAGTTCAGCTCAGGATGCCGATGGCCGCTGCGTCTGCACCGTCGTCGCTCCAGAACAGAGCCTGTGCTCCAGAGACGCGAAGAGCAGGCAACTCCGACAGCTCCTGGAGAAGGTCTGTGTGTAACCGTCCACAGTCTCAGTTAGACTGAGAGATTAGATACAGATCAGTCTGTTAGTGATGGTTAGGGCTGGAATTTTGGCTGCCGAAAACTGAAAATAAAAAAATTAAAAGAGATAAAATAGACCTATTGAAGTGTAGACTTTACTACTAATTTTAATGGTAATAATAATAATAATAATAATAATAATAATAAAAAATTTATTTATAGAGCACTTTTCATACCAGTGGCAGTTTAGAGTTCTTTACAGACAGATGATAATAAGATTAGAGCTGATTTTTTCTGTTATGTTTCCTGTTCATTATTATAATTTTTACTAAGTATATATATGTATATATATATATATATATATATATATATATATATATGTATATATATATACCAGTCAAAAGTTTGGACAAGTCTTCTCATTCAGTGGTTTTATTATTGAAGACATCAAGATTATGAATGAACACATATGGAATTATGTAGTAAACAAAATAGTGTTAAACAACCCAGAATACGTTTTATGCTGTAGACTCTTCAAAGTAGCCACCTTTTGCTTTGATGACGGTTTGCACAGTCTCGTACTCTCACTCTATGACCCAGCTTTATATTTCTGTATGTCTGTTTGTTCATCTCTGTTGAATCAGGAATCTACTCTGCTCTGCTGGGCTGTTAAAAACACTCACTGTTTCGAACAGTAAATTAATATTTTTTATCTGCAAATTACTTTCTCTCTAACGCTTAGCTTTCTCAAATTGAAGAACCATGAGATGTCTGAACTCTGTCTTCCACCAGAGGGCAGTGTAGAGCTGCATCTTACATTTTGAGAGATGGATGGATGGATGGATGGATAGACAGACAGACAGACAGACAGACAGACAGACAGATAGATAGATAGATAGATAGATACTTTATTGATCCTGAAGGAAGTTTAGCAGGCAGTATGAGTCACACAACACAGGACAGTTATAATAATAAGGGCGATACAATATAAAAAGAAGAATATATACAAAAAAAGTCATATATACAACTAGGAATATACAAAAATATGCAATAAGATCCATCCTGAGATAAAAGGCAGTGCAGTAAAGACTGTACAAGGAGGCACAGGGAGCAGCATAGAATGTCAATACTGAATAAATATGTGCAGATATTGGTACTGAAATAAAGAGTCCAGGTGTGCCAGATGTGTGATAAGATGTGCAGAAGTGCAGTATGTACAGTAAGATGTCCATATGTGCAGATAGATAAAGTACACTCTGTCCTCATCTCTCCTCTTCCCTCTTCTCTCGTCTCTCCCGGCCCCACTGGGCAGAGTTGAAGAGCCTTATGGCTCTGGGGACAAAGGATCAGAGGTTTGGTCAGAGGTTCTTATTCGTTTAGTCAATGAAGGAAACAGAAAGACTACTGCAGCCGTCTGAAGGCTACCGCACACTGGACGAGACGCTCAGTGTGGAGTCTCTGAGCACAACAAACAAAGTTAACCTGAACTTTGAATGAATGAAAATTCATTGTTGCTCTTTTAAACAAATGATTTACACTGCAGACTTGGATTTCCGCCCAGTGGAGCTTTTTCCAATTTTGTGCAATGTGCTTTCTGGCCAATAGGAGAGCAGCAAGCGTGTCTGTAGTTCCACTCAGCACCCGAAAGGTCAGTTTTATCAGAGGATGCTGCCCACTTTGCGAGCTCTGCGCCCACCGTGAGTGTGAAAGGAGTCTGAGTTCTAATGGAGCTGTGGTCTGAGATCTGAGTCCTCTTCGTAGTTCACTAACACTGTGGACACAAAAAGCACTGAGTCATTTGTAGTTGGTTCACTTTCAGTGTCACATTAACAGAACTTTGGTTCATCTAAAAAGAGCTACATGTGAAAACACTCTCTGTCTCTGTTAGCCTCCACCCGACGTGCCCAGCCTTGGCCTTTCTGTTGGGGGTGGGGGGGTATTATTTCAATATTTTTCAATAATGTCGTACAAAATGCTTTTCCCTAATTTTCACCACAAATATGCTCTTGTTTTAATGTGGTACACAGTGGAACGATATTTGTTTTGAAAGGGTTTGTCCTGATTCTGTGTTCCTCTCCAAAACTTGCCACGGGGCTTTTAGAAGCTGATTCTGAATAAGCATAAAGATGATGTAACTGTACAAACAAGCCTGAGGGGCTGACCCAGGCCGTCTCAGGACCTGCCTCGTCCACTGCTCCCCCACACTACCACCGCAACATGATAGTGGAGCACTGTTCTCCTCCAAGGGCAGTTTAGAATTTACTGATCACTGATTTCTGTTTTATTGGCGTTTCACACACTGTCCCCACGCGTTTAGAGCTGAATTGATTGTTTATCTCCTGCTGAGTTTCATTGTAGCTCTGTTTAGATCCACCTGATTCCTCCATTCAGAAGCTCCTGAAGGTTCATCAGCTCAGTCAGGTGTTACATTAGGAATAGGTAAAGAATTAAAAGCTGCTCACTGTAAGGCTCTGTTATCAACACGGAGAGTAAATAAGGCTTTTCCCATAAATATTGCTCAACAATTAAAAATTGCCTGTTTCAGTTATTAAACTGTGCTGGTCTGGTTGCTCCATCTGACTGATTGGCTGCGCCGCCTGACTTTTCAGACTAATTTCAAATCAAACAGACATCTTTTTAGACTCCTGTACTTGAGTTTATATTCACCTTTTCTTCAAATAAATAAACATTATTATAATAATTCTACATTTTCATGGTTCTCCTGAGGTTAGAACATCTGACATGGTCAATAGAACCATTCTAATCACGACTCAAACATCACGTTTTAACTAAATATGTGACCTTGGTATTGCGCCATGAAGGTCACTTGGGGTTTTCTTTATGATGCAATACACTGGTCCTTCTTTTGCAAAAGCATGTCGAAATAAAAGTCCTTTATGTTTGGACGTGCTGCTTGATATTTGAGGAAGTAAGAACTTGCAGATAAAAGTTTTTCCGTGAGTTGAGCAGTTTTAAAGTAGCCTTATTTTACAGCATGCTAATTTAAAGTTTTCAAACATAAAATTGTGACAAACAATCTTATTTAGAGTTTTTTGTAACTAAACTACCTTTTAGGTGGTTTATTTAATCAACATATCTGGTTGGACGCTTGCATCACCTGACATTTTTAGACTTTTGGAGGCAAACAGAAACTAAAATGAATTTTATATGGATGCACTGAAAATTGTTTCACGTAAAAGAGGCGGTGTTGAATATTTTGATATATATCATATATTTATTAAATTATTTTGGGGGGAGATAATAGACTTGGACACGCCAGTGACCCAAATATAACCTCAAATTAAATTAACCCTCTATCATTTTGGCCTGCGGTGTATTTGGGCTGATAAACTGAGGGCTGCATGATGTTGCATGTTGATTTTACTATTCAACTAATTATTTGAAAAAGTACACGGCTGGTTGATATTGTTACAGTAAAAATCTCTGCACACCTGTGAGATTCAGTCACTTAACTGAAAAATGCTGTCTAATTTTTTAAAGCTTATTTATTGATTTTGTTTAGTCTGGTGAGTTTGGTCGGGTTTATGAGACTGTATTGCAGAGTGGTTACAGTATTTCCACTCTAACAAAGTAAAAGTTGTTTTGTTTAGGAGAATAACAGATTTCTGTTCTCTCCTCTTTCTGTTCACTGTTTTTTCTGTAGCTGTATTTTTATTACTAAACTCAGGCACCATCCTCTACTAACTGTCTGCTGGATTTAAAGGGGACCTCTGCTGATTTTTCAAAATTCATGCCTAATTAAGTGGTTAAGATGTAATCAGAGTTGTTCAGAGTGGTTTGGTGTGAAACGCTCTGTTCTAGATAAACTTACAGAGTCAGAACTGTTCACAGTGGTGGTGATAGGAACCAGACGTCCACCTCTAAAAGCTCCCTCACAGAAAGTTCCTACAGTAAATGGTTATGAATTCACTGCCTGATGACTGAGACACTGTTTATGATAGTTTAGAGAACTTAAACTCCATTCATGGTGGAGGGATACATGCAGGGCGCTGTGAGGTAAAATAGTCCCCAAAGAAAACTTATTATTTCAGATTTTCCACTATTTTCCATCATCAACATTCCATATAAACTCAGAAGACTCGTGTAGGTTCACTGGTGGTTCTGGATAGTAAATAAAATGTCTATATTTGTGTTGTAGTCATGACGACCCCTGGTTCCTATCACCACCACTGTAAAGACATCTGAACCATTTCACACCAAACCACTCTGAATGACTCTGTTTACATTGCAGGGACTTTATTCAGTAATTTTGAAAAATTGGTGGAATTCCACTTTAATAGTTGACTATTCAGATAGTCTGTGCATCCCCTCGTTTGCTTACAGTATCTGTAAAAGCTTTTTTCCAGCACCTGTTAAACAGCAGCAGGTTTTACAGGAGACGCTGCTAATGTTAATTTCACTGAAGGCTGAATTACTTAGCGCTGTTTTCCTCTCTTTAAGATTCAGAACATGTCTCAGTCCATAGAAGTTCTGAACCTGCGGACTCAGAGGGACTTCCAGTACGTCATGAAAATGGAGAGCCAGATAAAAGGACTGCGATCAAAGCTCAGGCAAATAGAGTCCAACCGGAGAACGCTACTGACGAAAAACTTTCAGGTGCGCTTCCATTAAAAGACTCTGAGAAGAGAACAGACTTAAATGGCTGTAAAAGGCTGAAGCATCTGTGATAGGAGTTGAGTTATTCTTTTTTTATTTTTGTATTATTTTATACAGCATATGTTGGTGTAATGTGTGCAAATTCAATTTTGTGAGATAACTGATGCTGTTTATCACAAGCTGCACAGTGCAGATCACATTTTTTCATATTTATCTTTTTCCAGTGTTTTTCCTTAGTAATAATAATAATAATCTACACTCGTTATGTAATTATACCATATAAACCCTTTATCTGTCCACTATTACGGCTGGGCAGTATGGCAATATATGTTGTTATAGTGATAATTTATGTCAAAATAAATTACAACTCTGTTTCCAAAAAAGTTAGACTCTGATGCCAACAACACGTTCCAAAAAAGTTGGGACAGGGAATCAAAAGGCTGGTAAAGTTGCGTAATGCCAAAAAAACACCTGGTGGTTGATTGGCCACAGGTCAGTAACATGATTGGGTATAAAAAAGAGGCGGAGTCTTTCAGAGGTAAAGATGAGGAGAAGTTCACCACTCTGTGAAAGACTGCACCATCAAATAGTGCAACAATTCAGGAATAACGTTTCTTAACGTAAAATAGCAAAGAACTCATAATCTACATAATAGCATTAAAAGATTCAGAGAATCCAGAGAAATCTCTGTATGCAAGGGACAAGGGCCTCTCTTTGGGCCTCAGGTGGCACTGCATTAAAAACAGACATGATTCTGTAGTGTAAATCACTGCATGAGCTCAGAAACACTTCTGAAAACCACTGTCTGTGAAAACAGTTCATCACTGCATCCACAAATGCAAGTTAAAACTCTAAAATGTAAAGAAGAAATCATATATAAACAGGATTCAGAAACGCTGCCACCTTCTCTGGGCCCGAGCTCATTTAAAACAGACTGAGGAGAAGTGGAAAAGTGTCCTGAGGTCCGACGAATCAACATTTGAAATTCTTTTCGGAAATTATGGACACTGTGTCCTCTGGGCTAAAGGCCCAGTTCAAAAGACAACATTCATGATGGTGTAGGGGGCATTAGTCCAAATGGTATGGGTGACCTGCACATCTGTGAATGCACCATTAATGCTGAACGATATATACATGTTTTGGCAACATATGCTGCCATCCAGACGACGTCTTTTTTGATTATTTCAGCAAGACGATGTAAAACCACATTCTGCATGTATTACAGCAGCATTGCTCTGTAGTAAAAGAGTCCGGGTGCTAAACTGACCTGCCTGTTGTCCAGACCTGTCACCACTGATAACATTTGGCGCATTATGAAATGAAAAATATGACAAAGGAGACCCTGAACTGATGAGCAGCTGAAATCCTGTATCAAACAAGAACAGGAAAACATTTCACTTTCTAAACTACAGCAGTGTCTCCTCAGTTCCCAAACACTTACAGAGTGTTGTTAAAGAAGAGGTGATGAAACCCAGGGGTAAACAGGCCCCCGTCCAACTTTTTTGGAACATGTTGTTGGCATCAAATTCAAAATGGGCAAATATTTTTCAAAAAACAATAAAATTTCTCAGTTTCAACATTTGATTTATTGTCTTTGTACTATTTTGAATTAAACATAGGGTTTAAATGATTTGCACATCATTGCATCCTATTTTTATTTACATTTTGCACAGCATCCCAACTTTTTTGGAAATGGGGTTGTATAATATGTTTTTCTGATCATATGGTGTTCATCATCAGTGCTTGTAGACACTGACCAGCTGCATTTCATTATAAAGAGAACAAAATTAGTCAGTTCAACTGGATTTAGTGACAAATACTGAACGTAAATCACTGTGTTCACAGTTTTTGATTTTGATATTGTTTAAAATGTAGCTCTACTGGCTGTTTTTTTCTCTTTTCCAGCTGATCAGGTGTCTGAAAAAATCAATATCGTGCCACTGTGAAGCCTTTATCTACTATAAAAATGCACAGACAAAATTAGGCTTCAAGATGCTGCTACTGTGTTTAGCTGTGCTAATGTACTTTAGTCCATGTTTGTAGATAACAGTGAGTCATACAGTATCACAAACCACATATTAAGGTCTATTAGAGACACTGAACACCTCCACACAGTGATGTAGCCATGCAGTTAGCACTCTGCTAATTGGTGGGGTATAAGCTTCCTTTACTTGTTAGCTACAGTGTTAAAACTGAAGAAGCAAACTTCAGACACCAAACACGACTTGGCTGACCAAATACATTTGAGTTAAGTGGGAAAATGAGATAAATTTGACTGCTGAATGAGTGATTCTCAACATCTCCTCCTCCTCAGGAGATGAAGGGTAAGATGGCCGATCTGCAGCCCCTGATTCCCGTGCTGGAACAGTATAAAACAGACGCCAGGCTCATCTCTCAGTTTAAGGAGGAGGTGAGGAACCTGTCGATGGTGCTGCTGGGCATCCAGGAGGAAATCGGAGCATACGATTACGAAGAACTTCAGCACAGGGTGGCCAGTCTGGAGGGACGACTGAGGAACTGTATGAGCAGACTCAGTGAGTACCAGACTAAAGCTTTCACCATCCATTGACTTACTGGTCGAGCCACCTGACTTTTCAGACTAATTTCAAATTAAACAGGCATCTACAAGAACACTGAGGGTTTTATGGGTTTATGGCTCTCAGGAGCTCCTTTGGAGTTTAGCTGTAAAAATGAACAGAACGAATGGCAAAAGAACATCTTTGCTGAAAACTAATTTAATTCTTAATGTGTTAAGATGGGATTTGCATTTTGACAATGTTGATATTAGTATTATTAAGTATCTGTGAGAGTTAACAAGCACACATCCTGTAAACTGCAGGAAACAAAAAATCTTTGGCCAAAATTAGCAAAGCACAAAAGTTTATCAGCACACAGAGGATTACATCTGAAAACATGATTTGTCGGCGTTCTTGGGTTTGAGAAAGGTGCTATATAAAATGAACTTATTATTATTATTCAAAATGCCGCAGAAAATCCCGCCAGGCACTCAGTGTTTCATAGTAGTGATAAAATATAATATATGTAATATAATATACATACTTATATGTATATCGTTGCTGTCGGAACAAAACCTCATATCTCCAATATGGTAACTTTTACAAGTGAAGGAAAAATATAGTTTAATTTTAATGTAAATCAATGGAATTAAACTTTTTTCCAAGTAATTATGGGCCGTTTCTTTTGGTCCATTCATAATGAAATTTACACACAGTGTAAAGAACAGTAGGCATTTTCAAATTATGTCAAAATTAAAGGTTTTATTCCAAAGACAGCAATATAATAATATAATATAATATAATATAATATAATATAATATACAGGCTTACGTAATGAATACCTGAATAGTGACTTCAGATTACGAACACTGCCACCTAGAACAGTTAACCAAGTTCTCGATACCACTGCAGACCCCCAGTGTAGGAGTCAGGATACAGTGATATCATTTTGCTCTAGTGCTGTGATTTTCATTGATCTGATGTAACGACACATAGACGCCTCATAACTGAAAACAAATTTAGTAAAATCTACAGTTAAGTATTTCTATTGCTTCTCAATTGGAATAGCATGTTGTAGAGGCAGAATAACAAAATCTGAATCAGCACAAATAATTGATATTGGTTTTCAGTAGTGAATAATTCTGGTTGAGTGCCACTGACTGTGTACTGAAAGGCCAAACTGTATCTAAACACACAACTGGAAAAAAAAAAATATCTGAACATGTGTTTTTGTATATTTGAAATACATTTCAAACACATTGCAGTCGATGCTGAAATACATTCAAGCACTAAAATATATTTCAGAATATTTTGCCATATTATAAAAATATATTTTAAAATGCATTAATTCAAAAACGTATGTGGAAATATTACACACAGAAAATAAATGAATGTAAATGTGTTTATCAAAATGTATGAAAATGTCCAGAATCCTGTCTGATGCTCTTCACTGTCTGATACCTTTAGAAATGAATTTGTGTTCCAGTCTCTTCATTTTAAATCTGATCAGATGATCCTTTATCAGGACAGAAGCGAGTGTTGAGGGTATTGATCCTCTGTGAAAATGCAGTTATGATCTGATATCTTGTTTATTTTAAATACGTGTCTGTGTGAGTCGTCATTTCTCTGATTGCTGATTGTCTGTTTTTTAAGAAATATCTAACATTAAAAATCTCTGCCATGCCAGCTTGTGGCAAGCTAATGAAAATCAGTGGCCCTGACACCATAAAGACGTCAGGAACCAGGTTTGGAGCGTGGATGACTGACCCGCAGGCGTCTCCTCAAAACAATAAGGTGGGCAGTGAGATCTGTACACAGCTAATACTGCATCAACATAAAGCTTTAAATCTCGCTTTGTGGATAAAGTAACCGTTTGACGAATGATGTGTTGCAGGTTTGGTACATGGACAGCTACACCAACAACAAGATAGTCCGTGAGTACAAGTCAGTGAGCGACTTCGTCGCTGGGGTCGAGTCCAGAACCTATAATTTGCCGTTTCACTGGGCGGGCACAAACCACGTCGTGTACAACGGCTCCCTGTACTACAACAAATACCAGAGCAACATCATTGTTAGGTACAGCTTTGAGAGTGGACGTGTGATGACCCAGCGTGCTCTGGAGGCTGCTGGCTTCCACAACGTTTATCCGTACACCTGGGGCGGATTTTCCGACATTGACCTGATGGCGGACGAGCTGGGGCTTTGGGCGGTCTACGCAACCAATCAGAACGCTGGAAACATCGTGATCAGTCAGCTGGACCCTATAACCCTACAGGTTCTAAACACATGGAACACGGAATACTCTAAAAGAAACGCCGGAGAGTCCTTCATGATCTGCGGCACACTTTACATCACCAACTCCCATCTCACAGGCGCAAAGGTCTACTATTCCTACTCCACCAAAACGTCCAGCTACGAGTACACGGACATCCCCATCCACAACCAGTACTTTCACATGTCCATGCTGGACTACAACGCGAGGGAACGCGCGCTGTACGGCTGGAACAACGGCCACCAAGTGCTGTTCAACGTCACGCTGTTCCACGTTATCAAAACGGATGATGATTCTTGAGAGATACTGTTTTCCAGAGTTGCCAGTTTGGCGATTTTCTTGTTCGGTTACACCTGAAACAGGCAAACACGAAGCTCGGGTTTATTAATGAAGCTTGTATTTATCAACATGGTCCACAAAACCTCAACAGGACACTCAAAGATGGTTCTTCAAGGGTTCTGTAGTAAAGAAATGGTCCTATATGGAACCATGAACACTCAAAGAACACTCTGCATGATTAGAAGGTTCTCTGCATTGTGAAAGAGTTCCACAGATTGATGGAGAATGTGCTGTGGAGGGTTCTAAATGGAAAAGGGTTCTTCTACTGTTATAATGTCAAGCTTGTTACAATAGAATAACCATTTTTGGTGATATTAACAGAAGCATTTCAAAAAGATTCTATGTAGAACCATGTACAGCACATTTTCCATCAGTCTGAAGAGCTCTTTCACGATAACAAGAACTGTTTAGTCTTTGAGTGTTCATGGTTCTATATAGAAGTGTTTTCTTTACTAAAGAACCCTTGAAGAACCGTCTTTTTTAAGAGTGAAGTCATGAAACACAGTCCAGGTCAAAGAGAGTCACACAACACAAAAACACAACCGTCAAACAAATCCAAACAGGCAAAGAATAATCTATCACATATCAGTATATCGCAAAGAAACAGTGAGTTGTGGATATTAATTTATTATAACTTAATTCTCTACACTTTTCTCTGTCATGTTAGAATCTTCTACAGCTCTGTTCTTCGATCTGAGCACATCTAACTCTTCCTTATTTTAATTTATAGCCTCCTAGAGTCCTACTGATTATCTGAAACCTGTGAAGTTATGTATGATGAGCAGTTTATGATCATTTTACACATCTCTGTGCTACTAAATTAGTTTAATATTCTTAATAATATGAATTCCAAACTTGAACAGTGATTCCAAACTTGTGAACAGTAGTGAGTTTTGTTCCCGTGAGAGATTTACTGGTTTCTAGTCACAACCCAAATGTTTCAATCTGACAGTTTTCCAACTCTACCAGTTTAGGAAGACCATAAACTAACTGCTAAGTTGAATCAGATGTGTTTGAGCAGGAAAACCACTGAACTGAGCTGGACTGAAGCTCTCCAGGAACTGAGCTGGTTGAGGACCACCACTCAAAGCAGTTTTGGGCCCACAGTGTTGTTTTCTGGACAGCTTGACCAACATTGTCTAGTACTGATAACCCAAGGTGACTGGATTAATCTGGAAAACATTTCCCTGTTCATCTGAGAGGCTTCAGTTCAAAGTGGTGGAAACATAATTTCACAGTGCTGTATCATCTGCTGCCTTTCAGTGATGTTTATATTTCCATCAGTGGCTGTATATTTACATCAGAAGATAATCGTGAATGGACCGGTCCAGTTTGTTTACAGAGTTTCTCTCAGCAGTGTCCTTGGAGATGAAAATGCCTTATTTGAGTCACAGGGTCATTCTGAATTGTTTGGGAGATAAACTTGTGCTTAACGTGACACTATATGGCCAAAAGTATGTGGACACCTGATCATCAAACCTATATGAGCTTGTTGGACGTCCCATTCCAAAACCATAGGCATCAGTATGGATCTGGTCCCCCTTTGCAGCTCTAACAGCTTCCACTCTTCTGGGAAGCTTCTACAAGATTTTGGAGAGTCTGTGGGAATTTGAGCCCATTCAGCCAAAAGAGCATTTGAGAGGTCAGACACTGATGTTGGACGAGAGGGTCTGGCTCACAATCTCTGTTCCAGTCCATCCCAAAGGTGTTCAGTGGGGTTGAGGTCAGGGCTCTGTTCAGGCCACTGGAGTTCCTCCACACCAAACTGGTCACTCCATGTCTTTATGGAGCTGCTTTGTGCTCAGGGGCTCAGTCATGCTGGAACAGGAAAGGCTCTTCCCCAAACTGCTGACACAAAGCTGGAAGCAGATAACTGTGTAAAATGTCTTTGTGCTGCAGCATCAACATCACCCTTCACTGGAACTGAGAGCCCAAACCCTGAAAAACAGCCCCGCCCATCATCCCTCCTCCACCAAACTGTACTGTTGGCTCTTATGCTTGTCTGCAGCTGCTCAGCCATGGAAACCCATTTCATGAAGTTCCTGACACACAGTTCTTGTGTTGATGTTGCTTCCAGAGACAGTTTGGAGCTCTGTAGTGAGTTCTGCAACACAGGATAGACTCTGTGAGTTTGCGTGGTCTACCCTTGTGGCTGAGCTGTTGATGCTTTCAGTTCACAATATTAGCACTGACAGTTGTCCAGGGCAGCTTTAGCAGGACAGAACATTTAACCTTTATACACCTTTTAGCAATGGAAGTGGCTGAAGCACCTGAACTGAGTAATTAGGAGGGGTGTCCACATACTTTTAGCATATAAACCATATTACAAAGACAACACAGCCTGTGTATATGGAGTAAAGCTTCAGTGTATGAAAGTGATATACAGAAATACTTAATGAAAAATGTAACAAACTTGGAAATACAGTATATATTTAAAGAGACAGGCCATCCGTGCATATCTTCCATTCTTTGGCCTTAAGAGTGGTCAGTATTAGTAAAAGTGATTCTCATCTAGTTCTGTATCTAGTTACAACACAGCAGTGCCACAAGCTAATATGTATGTGCTGTACATCGAATAAATTGTCAACAAAGAATCTCTATTAACATTCACAACGAGGCTCGAACCCCGTCCAATAAACCATCTTTTATCGCTGTCCCAGATGGAAGTATTTTATTATTATTTATTGTTATTTGAGACGTGTAATATATAAACCACAGCGTGTGACACTTTTATGAGTGGTTGAAAGAGGCTTGGGTCTGCCAGCCGCTGTTATTTCACTGATGTGTCTTGCAGTGAGATGGAGTGGCAGCCTGTAATGTTACCTGTCAAATGTTCCACCGTTATTTTTTTCATGAATAATAGAGGAAATGTTTTTGTGCTGTTTTAGACCTTTGCCTTGAGCCAGAAGACGTTCTGTATCCTCAAACCGGTTTCTTTCAACTATACTGCTTTCTCAAAGACTCTAAAACCCAAACTGACCTTAGTTTGTAGGTGGGTTGTCACACTTTCGCTCTTTTCTCAAACCAAATAATCATTTCATTTTATTGGTAATTATTATGTCTTATATCCAGAGCCGGTTCTGACCTCCCTGGGGCCTTAAGCAAAATTCTGCAAAGGGGTCCTCGTGCCTGACTAAACTATTTGCAATGGCCACACAGTCACACCTGATGCCCCAGTGCTCCCACTACAATCCTCCCACCTTTAAACCAGTCTGCTCCATCTGTCACTCTAAGAATAGGTTGATCTGTACAGAACAGAATGAGATACACAAACAATATTTATCAATCAGTTAATATTTACTCCTCTACTGACAGACTTGATCACCTGAAAAATTATAGATAATATTATTGTTAATTTAATCCGCAGGTTCACTTTTACACGTTTTAAAATATACTATTTAAAAATGCTATTTATACTCTGGCTTGGCTGAACAGTTGATGGTTGTTATTTACTGAGAGATGTGTGTCCATATTGTCCAGCATGTCCAGCTAATCAACATTTTAAATTGAATATTTAATCAATAGTCAATGCCCAGTCCATTGCTGTCCATTCTGCATTAGTCAGAGCTGTAAGTAAACCCTGACTGAGAGTCTAGATCATCACTGTCCTGTTTTAAAATGATGAACTCCTATGAGGTGAGAGCATCACGCCCAGATACTGTCTGGACTGGACTGGACTGGACTGGACTCCACAGATGCTGCTACAAAATGTGAGCTTCATTTCCTGCACATGCATATGAACACATTTACATGCAACTCAGTTATCTTTTCCAAGCTGAAGTTGCCCCTCAGTGTTCATCAAACGTAGCACATCAACTTTTATTGGTTAAATGCTGCTGTTATTTTCTGACCTCTCACTCAGAGAGGAGAGAACACAGGTCCACCTGGTGTTTTTTTCTTTTCTTTTTTCATGTGATTCCAAACGCAGGACTCATAAGTACTGCTACAAGCCATCGAAGCCTCTGAGAAGCAGCGGTTTGTTTGTTTCTTCACTCTGCGTGAGGGTCAGGTTTCCTGCAAAGAGAACTGCAAATTTCTACTTCAGTCACAGTTTAATGGTGTTAGAAAAACCCACCACAGACGCATTAAACAAGCCGATAACGTCAGCGAAGTCTGCCTGCTCCATTTAACAGCACCCCGTATTATCAGAAGAGCAGAAGCACTTTTGGTGACAGAATGAGAACAGATGTCTGCAGAATCTGAAGATTATTATTTAAACAGACAGAGAAAAACTGTGGAGCATCAAATGAATCTGCTTTAGTGCTGTTAAACAACTCGGATTCAGTGATTTCTAACACTAATTCAGAGGAGTGTACAGTGAGAGTCAACACTTCGGACACTTCTGAAAAGTTTTCCTTATATTTACTATTTTTGGTGTTAGAATAATAGTGAGATATGAAATGTATTAAATAAAACATATTGAATTATGCAGTGTCCAAATAATATTCTTTTGATATTCTTTTGCCTGAAGTAGGTTTGTATGTTCTTGACATTCTCCCATGAGGGGCCACCTGGGATGATTTTCTAACAGGAAAACTGTAAAGGAATCTAAAGGCTACATCTTAGTACTACTGAACCACATTACACACAGAGAAATCCACAGTAGATGATGTGGCTTGAAAATTTACATGGAGACAGGAGATCAGTCTCAAGTCTTTAACAGACAAATGCTGATTGCCTGCTACCACAGCTAATGCTACTAGCTCAGTCATGTCATACCGTACGTCTTATACCTTACAGCTGGAAAACAGTGAGATTTTAGACGAGTTTAGCTGCGGTCACACCCAACGTGAGTGGAAACAGCCACTTGAACGGGAAAAAGACATGAGAACGCAAAAAATCACTTTGCTTAAGTAGCGCTAAATTTCACTTTGTGTAGATGAACTTTTACCCTGCAAACCTTCATGAACCTCAGAAACGTCAGCCAATAGAAAACAAGAAACCCTCGCAGAGGGTGAAAACAGCGAGATGACAGTCTGGTGTGGCTACAGCTTTAGTTAGGAACCTGATCAATTCACTAAATGATGTTGAATGTTTTATTCCATCAAATCGTTACAGTAGAGTACAGTAAGAAACGA